GTCTACCGTTGTCTAGGAAATGGAAACTCTTTCCTCTCATTATATTTGCTTGGGCAAGAAAAGTAAAGTGATAAAGGCAGTTTTGTTTTGCTAGATTAAAAGTTAGAAGGTAGATGGAAGTGTAGGGAGTGATGCAGTTTCCTGAAGTATCTTTTTTTTTTTTTTTTTTTTTTGTCTTTTTCATTTTTATCGGTACCAGAGATCAAACTCACAACCCCACACATGCAAGGCAGGCGCTTATGCCACTGAGCTAAATCCCCAACTCCTGCCTAAAGGATCTTTCCCCAAGAAAACATGTAGGCATGTAGGGTCCCGGTAACTCCTTTAGTTTTTAGATTAGGGGGGAAAACCTGTTATCTAAGTGGTGTTGAACCTTTTTACCCCTGAGCTTGATCTTGAGCTTTATTCCTTTACTTACTAAAGCTACAAGGTTTTCCTTCCTTATAGCTGAGTAGTTCTCCACTGGTCTACCACATCGCTAAATAACCACAGAGCTCCTAGAGATCCCTGTGCCACACCTGGGGTCTCTGGGGACCTTTGCTGCTCTTGAAATGAATGTAGCAGCAGAAATGTGGATCACTGAACAAATCACAGCTACACAAAGATGTACATAGGAATGTTTAACTTATGTTTAAGTTAAAAAAAAAAACTAAAGGCAGAGACTTCTAGCACAGATTGATAGAAAATGGAGCTATTTTATGGCATGTCGATTAATGTGTTTATATATGAATGCAGAGTTGCCTACAAGTAATGTATGAAAGTCCAGATTTTATGCACATGTTAAAGGACTGATGGTCATATCATTACCTCTGTAGTCCCAACATCTTTGGTTGTAAAGACAAAAGTCATAGCTTATAAATGATCAAACCATGGATTTGGCCTTCTGGAACCCATGGAACTATCTTTAGGTCTTGCATTCATTCTTTTTTTTTTTTTAGGTGATCTACAGTAGTTACTATGCTTTCTCTTGTTATTTTCAATAGAATTGTCTACATCATCAGACATAAAATTGAATAGCATTACATAGCAATTTTAATAAAAACGCAACATTGGAGACATTGTAGGACTTCAAAAGCAGTTAAATAATCAAACTGGAATGGGTATCTTATTACATTTTGTCATCTTCAGAGTAGTTGCCTCTACTCTTAGACTCAAGCATACCAAATTTGAATAAAATCAGTCAAAACAAAACAGTGGTCTAACAAACCAGATTTTAATAAGATCAGTCATAATGAGACAATGTAAAAAAATACAGGGCTTCAGTTTAAGTTAATGGGGAAATAAGGATATTTACCATAGCATATCTTACTATTTTGGGGATAGTTGTCTGTGCCTCAAAGCTAGTTTGAGTAGACAGACTGGAACAGAATACAATCAAACTAAACAGCGATAAGTCTAATGTGGCTTTTAAATCCTGATACACTATTAACAATGTCATCTGCCTTCCATTTTAGGCAATTCCTCCCCTTTCCCTTTCTCAGGGTGCTTTGTATATTTTGGGTCCCGCTAACTCCTTTAGTTTTTAGATTAGGGGGGAAAACCTGTTATCTAAGTGGTGTTGAACCTTTTTACCCCTGAGCTTGATCTTGAGCTTTATTCCTTTACTTACTAAAGCTACAAGGTTTTCCTTCCTTATAGCTGAGTAGTTCTCCACTGCATAAAAGTATCATGACTTTCCAACCTATCTGCAGCTGCTGGATGGGTTGTCCCTATTTCTCTCTGGTTCCCTGTCACATAGAGCATCATTTTCTCATATTTGAATTTCAGTTTATTAATGCTCTTTCAGGTTGAGTATATTTCCTATTCGGAGCATCTCAATGGACCCTGTCTCCTCATCTACTCTGCCTGTGTTTCTTTATGTTAGTGTATCAAGGCTATCTATATTAGAGATTATAGCCCACCTTTTCTGCCTCATCACTGCAATTTCATTTTTCTGCTATTATTTGTCCACTTTTCTCCCTCATTCCACTGTCTGCCTCTGTCTGCCTCATTGAAGCCTCTCTGCCACTGTTGCTGGAATCCTGGTATTTTTTTTCTATCTCTCTCTAAAATGTCATTCAGTATTATTTTTTAGTATTGGATTGGTGGCCATGAACTCCCACAGTTCATCCTTGTCTTGGAAACATCTTTTGTCTCCATTAATTTTGAGAGAGAGTTTTTCAGGGTACATCAATCTGGGTTGGAGATTATTTTCTTTCAGGGATTGGGCTACTTCACTCCAGGCTCTTCTTGATTTGATAGTTTCTGTTGAGAAATCTGTTGTTATTTTGATGGATTTTCCTTATAGGTAATCTGCTTCTTTTCTCTGACCACTTTTAATATTCTGTTCTTGTGATGAATTTCTGGGATATATATATATATATATATATATATATATATATATATGTCTGGGTGTAGATCTGTTTTGGTTGTAGTTGATTGGAGATCTGTACACCTCTTTATGTGGATATCATTTCTTTTTCCTATGCTTGGGAAGTTTTCCTTAATTATTTCTGTGAATAGCCTTTGTAACTCATTTGTGTTACTCCTGCTTCTTGGCTCACATTTTTAACTCTTAAAATATAGATCTTCATCTTCTAGCCTTTGATTTGTTACTTCCTGGTTCCTTCTTATTTTTAAGAGGTCTTTTCTTCCACCATCATATGTTGAAAATCTATCTTCAAGTTTTGAAAGGCTAACTTTAGTTTCTGTCCAGGGATTTTGCCAGCTTTCAATGGAGTTTTTAATTTTCTGGTAATCTCTTTAGATCTGTTTCATGTATTCTAGATTTTGTTTATATTCTTCACCAAAAGTTTCTCTTCCTTTTCTGGATTCCTCCATTCTTCCATCTGTGTCTTCTTGAGGGGGCCTTAGCATTTCTTTTACTAATCTTTTAATATCTTGCCACGTTGGATTAGAATGTCAGTTTTAAGTTCGTCTATGAGGTCAGGAAGGTATTTATGTCTGCTGAAGTTGTGGCCAATATTGCATGATTGCTGCACCAAATCTCTTCTGTGTTATCTCTCCTGGATTTATTTTCCCAGGGTGAGTGGCTGGAAGTTTTTTGTTTGTTTGTTTGTTTGTTTTTTTCTCTTGTCATGTTTCTAGTTTCAGACAGGTGTTTGGTGGAGGTCTCACGCCATCTCTGTATTGCCTGAAGCGTGCTGGCTGGGGCTTGCTGCCTTCTCCAGTTTGCTGTTGTCTAAGGTGAATGCAGGAACAGTGGGCTGGCCCCACTTCTCTGAGCCATCAACTGGCGAGTGCCTTCAGCAACTTAGTCTGTGCTGTGCAAACATCACAGGTTCGGAACAGTTTGGTCCCTGGCTATTAGGTCCTGACCAGGGGCCCAAGTCCTCTTTGGGTGAGGGGTGGCTGACTGATGCCACAGCGCATCCAAGTTCAGGCCTATCCTGCCCAACTCCAATATGTCTTCCAGCTGGCCACATCTACCAGAGTGACCCAATTTCCAGTACTTATCACAATTTAATGCAGTTCTCCACCTGGCCTCCCCTCTACACTGTTCCATGTCCTGCCAAAGGCTAGGGACTCACCAACTCCTGTTATTGGTGGCCATGGCTACCATGAATTGTCTGACTCTAGGGCACGCTCCAGACAGTGCAGGACCAGTTTTAATGAGCGCATCTGGCTCCAGCCCTCCACCTGTGATTTTCCTTCCTCTTCTCCTTTTTCTTTTTCGTCAGTTTCTTCCTGGGTCACAATAACCCCTCTCCTCTCATCCATCCCTCTCCATGTTGTCAAATTCCAGCATCTGAGCTGTTTTTTCCAGAGAGGCTCTCCACCCAGCTACCTATTAAGCTGCCATCTTCTTGTCTCTCTTGCATTCATTCTTTAAGGACACTTGGAGAAAATGATATGGGTAGTGATCATTTCAAACTTTTAGATAAATAAACCATACAAATAAGCATATTGAGTCTGTACTCTTAATTTGAATGTAGTAGATTTTTATTAGTTACTCGTATTCTTTAACATAGGAATAAAAATTAGGTACGGTAATAATACCTCACATTGTCACAGTTATATTTTAGTAGCTAAATAAAGTTTGGTTTAAGAATATACCAATGCCTAGATTTGGGGTTCTAGTTCTTACTTCAGTCTATTTTAATTGATAAGAAAATATATTATCTGCTACACTCACCAAATTATGATTATAACATTTAAGCTTATTAATTGCTTATAAATTGCTTGTTAAAAGCAATTTGTCTTTCTAAATCAAAGGAATGAATAAATATTTTCCTTCATGTCAAAAATTTATTGTTATAAATTAACTGAGCATTTTTTTAACAAACGGGATAAAAATGCACTAAAATATTTTGGAAAAAGTTGAGAGCAGAATGTTCTGTTTTCACATTTTAATGCTATACAAATGTCAGAACTTCTTGAGTGCTACATATTCATGAAGCCTAGTAATATTAAAATAGAAACAGTCTCAAATACTCATTTGTGAAGCACTTTCAACACATGTCTAGTGTGCTTTTGAAGCTGGCTAATGAATGAATGAACAAATGAATAACTGAATGCATACATGAAATGAACTTCATACTCCAAATAATTCATCGTCAGTTTACTAGAAAGACCTTGATTTCTGAGAGCTGGAACTGCACTCTCCACGCCTCATTTCAACTGAGTCCACATGACAGGCAGGTGAGAGGCTTTCCCCTGGCAAAGCTGCCACAGCACAGTGAGAAGGCAGATGACCTAGGGGTGTAACAGAAGCACCACATAAAATGTGGATGTGTTTGTCTGTACACTGGGAAAATAACTGACGTCAGAGTGCTGCATGTACCCACCAGACTCGAGGTGTGTCTTGGAGTAAATCATCAACTATCCCCACGTTGGTCCTAAGCTTTTGATAGTATACAACATACACAGAGGAGCAAAAAATAATACAGAAAAGAAATTGAAGCGACAGTGTAAGACTGGGGTAGTATTCATACAAAGTTGTCCATTAAAATCATCTACGTACAAAATTGGTGGTGAAAAAAAAATAAACATGGAACACATTATATTTGCAAGCAGGTTAAATTTATTGAAAGCACTTAGGGGTCAAATGGAAAACGGGTGGCATTTGGAAAGGTATCTTTTCTTGGAAAATAGAACCGGAGAGAAATGACTGCTTCTCTGCCTTGATGGAATAGATTCAGGTTGTCATTTTGAAGAGCCAGTGTAAGAAGAATGCGACCAGCAGCAGAATCCATGTTTCCTAGGATGACAGATTCAGCGGAGCCAGAGGCTCTCCAGTTTTTCAGTAAAACCCAGACGACCAATATCTGCCATAGCAAGATGGGCGGTAGCAGCCGTATCCATAGCCTCCGTATCCCCGATAACCACAGCCATAGCCACAGCCAAGGCCACCGAATCCATAGCCCCCATAGTATGGGCCATAGTAGTTGCCGTAGTAGAACATGGTGTCAGGCAGGGGTGATGGTTCAGGACTGGAAGGAGAAAGGCAGCTTCCTGAGTTTGAACATGACTGTCTTCGAAGGTCTTTTATACTTCTTCAGCAGCAGGTGTGGCAAATCACATGCAGCACTGCCCTTGTTAAAAATTATTTTGCATGCTCCACAAACAATACTAACATTACAAAACTCTCATAAATCTTTTATTTTATAAGGCATAGTGAAGCCTTCTTTGGCCAAGTTGTCTCTATAGCTAGCTCAAGATTTTCTACTAGCAAATCACATGTTTTGAATGCAAGTTTTTGTTTTTTGACCTAGTTTTAAAGTCCTTCCTTACTGAAAGCTCAAATTTAAATTCTCTGACAGTGTTAAAAGGAATAACAGAAGCTATGCAAACAGAGACTGTTTCAATATTTAGATTTACTAATGTTCTCAGATTCTTCTGTCAGCAGCAGGTGATGAATCCACTATATCTAGGTTTAGAGTTTACCTGAAACTTGAGAAGTAAGATTTCCCAATATCTCTTAATATATACTAACTTTTTGTATGTATTTTAAATACATAAGTGGCATAATGATTTCATAGGATAAAACTTTAAAAATACACATTTCAATTCACCATTTCTGCTGCATAAAAAACATCTACTATTTTCAATTCTGGGTTTACTCAATGACTTTCTAGCTCTCAGAATTAACATACAACTGAATTAAAGATTCCGCCACTTCTCCTCCTGCTCATGAGGTGAACATTATTAATGTGCAGTGCTTTTTTATCAGCTGGGGAAAGAACCTTTATCTATCCTGTGCCAGTATCTGTGGAATCTATTACTGTACCCTGTGGCTCTATAATCAGAAAAGTCTTTGGCTCTATTATGGATTCAGTGAGTATAGACATGAATTCAGTCATCTGATGTCTGTCTGCTTTGCTATATTTCCTGGGGAATTCAGTGAAGATTACTCCTCAGAAAATCCAGGGTGCCTTTGTCTACATTAAATGCATAGCCTTAACGCAGGTTTATCATTCTTCCATCTTTAGTGTAAACATCTGCTAAATGAAGACTTAACCATGTCTGCATTCTCTTGTCCAACTCATTAGCTCTCCACTACAGTGAATATGCAGGAAAATAATTTGAAATAATAATATCAAACATTATTCTCATACCTACTATCACCCAGACATGGTTTTAAGTGCTTAATACAGATTGATTAAATTCTTCAAATTGCCTTCTGAGTTAGGTGTTATCACTATCCTGTTTCCAGATGAGGCAAACGAAACACACATTTTTGCTGGTAATATCATGTAAGTGGGAAAGGTAAGAGTTAAAGCAGAGAGCTTACTCCAGAAATATGACCCTATCTTCAGTCCTATCCTGACTTAAAGGAGGTCATTTTCCTTAGAACACATTCAGTGCGTGAGTGGTCTTAAAATGGGGAAGCTCCAGCTTAAGGGAGATTATCCTGACTTGCTGGATGTCAGCAAAACTATTGGTTGTTCACTGCATGTCAGAGTTGCCTATTAAAAATGCTATTTTGGGACCAAGTTGCTTATAAGAATTAATCTAAAATCTCAACTGGGTGAGATATTTATCTTCATTACTGACACACAGGTGATTCAGATGTGGCTAAACAACAGGAAATGCCTCAGTGACTCCAAAACCACCCTTTAAAACAGTAAAAAAATTTATTACTGTTTTGTTTAGTCATTTAGCCAATGGCAACTTGTGTAGTGGGTGCCACCCATATTTGGGACATATAAAAGGCCCACAGCAAGGAGAACTGTCCAGACTCAAGTCACCTGCACTCTTCCTCTACCAAAGCACAGCCTCAGCACCCAACACCATGTGTGGCAGCTACTACGGAAACTACTATGGCGGCCGCGGCTATGGATGCTGTGGCTATGGAGGCCGGGGCTATGGCTATGGAGGCCTGGGCTGTGGCTATGGCTCCTGCTATGGCTCTGGCTTCCGCACCCTGGGCTGTGGCTCTGGCTGTGGCTATGGCTATGGCTCCCGCTCCCTGTGTGGCTGTGGCTATGGATGTGGCTCTGGCTATGGCTCTGGCTTTGGCTACTACTATTGAGGACTCCACTGATAACTTTAACCTTCTATACCTGTGACTTCAAGATTTACCCTTTCTGCACCCCTGTCTGAGCCTTACACTTGAATGATGCTGCTGCTGCAGTGGAAGTCTTCCACACCTGGCTGTGACCCGTGGAACTCAGTGATTCCCTGAATGTTCCTGCTGAATGGGACACAGTGAATTCTGTTGGTGATGTCTGGATGACTGTCATGATGGAAATTATTTCTTGGTTGCCCTAATAAACTTCTTTAACCTGGAAACAGTTTTTAATTGTTTTATTTCCAATGTTAACCTTTTTTCAGTTTGGTTCACAAGGCTGTGAAACTAAGCAAATCACAACCCCTCCCCAATTTTGTATGTATGTGTTAAACTCATGCATTTGACTGTATCACCCACTTTCAATCTGAATCTTAAAGTAATTTACTTTTTCTAAAATCAGAGATATAACCTAAGAAGTAATTTAGTAATAGTTTAGTGCATCCTAAATAATATATCATAAAAGTGTTTGGGCTGAATGGTAACTAATAATTTGCTAGGAACATTGTTTTATAAATAACCTGGGACTCTTCAGGCTTTCATTGCAGTTCACCATAGTGGATGTAGCTGGCTACATCCCATTGTTAGCGGGGGTGAAACTACTTGCAAATTGTTCACCACTGGCAGAATTCAGTTCTTCACAAAAACAGACCATGAAGGCTTTTTTTATTCCTTGCTGTTAACTGCGGCCCTGGCTGGTTCTCTTTCAGCATCACTGTCAGCCCCAAATGTTGCCCGCAGAGCCTTGTCAAGTAGGTTCCTAAACATAACTATTTTTTCAAATCCCGAAGAGGGAGAAAACAGAGGAATGTTGAGTAGTAGAACCTTATATGAGATAGTCATGGGATCACTTAAATCAGATACAGTGCCAACAGTTTGGACACATGCCCTGGGCAGAGGGCGGGAACCTCAGAGCCACGGGAAACATTTGCTACCAGCAAGACAGCATCTCCTTCCTTCACTACGGGATTCACACGGCGCCCTTCAACACCTTACAGGTCGCTCAGATTTTCTTGTCTTTGGAGATTTTGTGGAATCTTTCTGAGGACTATCTGGACCTGGACTTTTTAGTGGGATCATTTGTTAATTATTTTTCCCATTATTTTCAGGGGAGTTGGTTTACTTATGATACTTATGCTTAATGTGTCATTTGGTAATGTTTCCCTAAGAAATTATGTATTTCACCTAAGTTTAGTTTCTTTTTGCTTTCTTGTTCGTATATTATCATTATATATTGCTTTTATTTTAGATGATGCATACAGCAGGATGGTGAAAATAAGTTTCTCAAGACTAAAGCTGTTTCAATAGTGCAGTCATAATGTCACCCCATCTCAGGCCCAGTTGTATGTTATCTCTCTACTTTTTAAGTTTTTTTTATTTGTATCAATTTGTGACACATAATAGTTGCATTCATATTGTGGATTTGAAAGTGTCTTGTGAAGTGTCAAATTTCTTCTTTTTCAAAGTCTATTTTTCACTTTGTTTTGTTTTTTACATGGTCTTTCCATTCTTGATTGAATTAACAAGTGGTTTATAATTTCTAATTCTTTCAAATCAAGTATTTGAGTAAACCAACCATCTCATTGCACAAGTCTTAGTTTCTGCTTTTCACAGATGTATCTGTCTTGTATTTTTTAGTTTCCTTATGAATTTTTGAGGTACGATATTAATTTATCTTCTTTCATTTCCAACAGTATTTCCTTCATATTTATTTTCTCCTAAATATTGTTTAAAAGTTTCTCATAGATGCTGTGATGAACTGTTTGCATTACTATTAACTTTTAAAGAGTCTATAATTTTCTTTTCATGTCTTTTTTTTTTAAACCCAAGAGGTTTTAATGAAAGAATTTCTGCATTAAATTTTGAAGAATTCTTCTAAATTTGTGTTAGTAAGTTACTTTTTTGGCTTGAAAAACATATTTTACCAGTAGCTCTACTTTGGAAGCTTGTCAAAGTTTTCTTTGTAATAATGTGTCTTTGAGGCTAATCTGTGAGAACTTGAGATTTGTTTTAAATAAAAAATTTGAATAAAGTATCTATAGTGCTACCTTACTCTGCTGTTCTTCTACAGGTATAAAAGAGTTCATTTAGTAAAATTTGTTGTATTTTTTGTTATGGCACAAGTTGGATACCTGAAAATTTGTTGCAATTTTTGTTTTTGCTGCCCTATTTTTTCCCATTTGCTTAGTTCCAGTTTTACTGTCCAATTTTCAAAGACTTCCATCCTTTATTTTTCTCCCCTAGATATTCTGTTATGTCAACTGCTTTTAATGTCCTCCATTATCATGTACAGACGTCCTGATCTTTTCTTTCTTTCCTTCCCTGTCTTTATCTTCCCCTTCCTGGCTTCCTTTACTTTTCCTTTTCTTCCTCTCTCTGCTTTTCCATTTCTTCCCATTGTCCTCCTTCCCGCCTCCCACTTTCCCTGCATCCACTTTTCCTGCTTTCCTTCTGTCCTCATCCTTTCTTCCTTTTTAAAAAAGATTTAGAACGATGTATTCTTTCTTGTATTTTTTAATGAACCTCTGAATATGTTGTTGGACACCCTATTGCCTTCCTGAAATTCTTTGTGTCTGCCTTTGTTCCTCACAATGTCTTGGAGCTATACGGTGCTAGCACGAAAGAGATTGCCTGGAGGATTCGCTCTTTCATTTGATTTCATTGAATTAAGGCCTACTTGGCTTTCTATTTTTGTTAAACATGTGACTTTCATGTAGCTTTCAATCCTTTGTCATGAATTGAATTCTATTCCCTCTGCCGAAGGGCATAATATTGTCTTTTGTCTCAGTATTTTTGGCCAATTCTCACTTAGAAATAAGGGCTTTGCAAATATAACCAAGTTGAGAAGAGGTCATAAGAGATTAAAGTGGACTCCAATCCAGTGAGTGAGGTGGCCGTGAAAAGGCTCTAGGAACGCACAAGGACCCAGAGTCAGAA